CCCCGCCCCCACCCGGCCTCTCCTGCTGACGCCCCCCACCCGCGCACACTCGCTCACGCTCCCACTCGCGCACACACATGGTCGGCTCGCGGCAAAGTTTCGCTTGTGGTCGCCACTCCGGGATCCTGCCGCAGTGCTCGGGGCTGTAACCTTGAACTTTCCCAGCGCGGTGACACATTCTCTTCGCTCTCCCTCCCGCCCTCCCTCCCGCGCCACCCTCCCCGCCTTTTTTAAAAAAGCATTCCACCACCAACCACCACCCCGATCGAACCCACGCCGAACCTCCGCGCACCCCCTGGCTCCCAACACCACCAACTGCAAAGCAGAAAACAAATCCCCAAACCCAGGCGCAAAGCAGCCCACACCACCGGCGGCGGCAGCGGCCTCGGCGAGCACGGCCGGTGCACACGGACAGCAAGAGGGTTAAAAGTGTAGATTGGATTTCACCCCGGGAAATCTAGCACGCCGTGTGAACTTGAATCTTTGGCTATTTAAGGAGGACTGGGTTTGTTGTGAAGTTGCGGTGAGCCAGCGCTGAGCCCCGTCCTGATTGATCGCATCGCGGGGCGCAGATGACTGTAAAATGAATAGATGAAATTCTTGCTTCTCGAAGATTTTCTTGGGCATCTCCGGGAAAGTGCGTTGTAAGGCGAAGTCATGATGTATTCTCCCATCTGTCTCACTCAGGTACATCTCGCGGTCGCTCTCTTGAGCTTTCTCTCTAGCCAGCAATGCCTTTGTTTTGTTTTGTTGCTCTCGTCGTACGGACAATTAACGGCTTTACTTAACCTCCGCACACCGCGTCCTTTGCAGAAGTGGCCCCGAGTGGCGGCGGGATTTGCGGGCAGCGTGGGAGCCGGCGCTCGGCCCCTCGCCCACGGCCACCGCGCGCGGCCAGCCCCGCGCCCTGGGCACGGAGAGCGGCGCCCGTGCGTTGCCAGGGCGGCCAGGCCGGGCGAGGCCGCCGGGGTGGGCAGGGCCGGGGGGCTCCCCAAGTGCGGGCTTTCGGCTCAGCGCCCCCCTCCCAGGGTGCCCGCGGTCCCCGTCGGCCACTGGCATGCGGAGGCGGACTCCGGCTTTAGACGTGCTTTCGGGGGACCGAGTCTTAAAAACATCCAGTGAACTTGGGCGAGGGGACCAGAGCACGAGTCCATGTGGGCGCTGCAGGCGGTGGGCGGGCGGCGAAGCGAATCCGAGTTGTCCGTACGGGAACCCATTACTTTGCTTAATTTGGGGATCTGAAACCCTGGTCCACACCTTGGGGTTTCCCGTGACCGACCACAAAGGTGGTCTTCACGTTGACACGAGTTGGTTGGCCACGCTGAATGTTAAGGATTTTCACAACTTGTTCATTTTGTGCAGACCTGTTCATTTGACGATGTTTGAGGGTAGCTGCTAGGGCATAAAGTAATGCTGGAAAAGTCAGGTCTTTTTTTTTTCAAACTTTGAAAATTTGTCCTAGTACCTTAGGAAAAATGGTATGAAGCAAAATACTGGCTTTATACGTAAAACATGCACACACAGTTTATATCATTTTAAAGCAGACTGTCAAATGGAAAAGTGAGAAGACTAAACCGACTTACCTGGGCAGTTTTCATTGCTGCCCAGCTAACTGACCAACTAACTGACAAACTTAACTAATTATCTTAGCCTAGAATAGTTATTTAAAGCAGTATATTAAGCCTCTAAAGGTGTGGGACAGTTTACTTCAGCTTTTAGGGGAGCGTGCCACGAGTTGGTAATTGATAACCACACATTGGCATATAAACTAAACAGTTTTGAAGTGTCGGCTAGTCTTGGGTGTGTTTAAAATTAAAAAAATATATAACATTAAGAGGATGCATTTTTATAGTGGACAAATGATTAAGATTTCAGTAGTATGACAATTAGAAGCTGTTGTGATTCAAAAGGACTGAGGCATTCAGAAATTGTGAATGAAGATGAAAACAATGATAAGGCTTATTCAGTGATTGGATACAGTCCTGTAGCTTTTTGGCTGACACATTTTTTATTGTTTATATTTTGTTTGGCATCTGAGTATGATTGACTTAGATATGGCTATTTTCAGCAAGTAAATGTGCACTTTAATTTAACAAAACTGGAAAAATGGGTCGCTAAGCTATTTGTATTTTGAAAGCTATGAATGATAGCGGCCAATACATATGAGGAGTAAAATGTTTCAGGTGTAAGGAATTACCTTTTTACCTTTAGTATTACCCATCAGCAGGATTTTAAAAAATCTTCCTGGTAAACTACTTCCACTTGATACTATTTTTACACTGAGGTGATAACTGAAACATAGTTAAAACAAAATAAAGTAAGCTTTTCACTTACAAAGCACTGCATCACTTCTTCTCACCTGTAAAGTATTGAATAATTGTCCTCTTTTTTATATTAATTTATATTTGTGGCATCGGCTTTTTAGAAACATTGCTAGCGATTGCATTGCCTTTTCAGTTTCCTCTAAATATGTGTGTAAAAGTCACTAGCTTTATCTTAATTTGTGTAAGTCAAAAATAATATGGCAGCATCCTGACATATGGAATATTGGGAGCACATTCAGTCTAATCGTTCAGCTATCACGTTAGTATTCAGGGGTACATACTTACCAACACTAATTCAGGATAACTACCATTCTCTATTATTTTAATAATGTAAACCTGGATTGATACATTAAAGCTGTTTGTGGGGTTCAAGGCCTATGCTACAGAAGGAATTTCAGCTTTAGAATTTTCACTTCTCATCTCTATGTGATTTTATAGGTACTGAAAGGTATTGCAAAAGTGAGGAAACTTAACAGTTTTAGTCTGGTATCACAACCTGCTCGACATTGATGTAAGGGCCTAATATCTATAGCAAAACATTTTTTTTTTTTTTTTTTTAGTACCTGTAAATACAAAATAGAGTAACATTTCTAATTGATTGAGAACTTTAAAAAGTATCACAGTTGTTGCAATAATGTATCTAGGTTTTAGAAGGGATCTTAATTCAGAAGGAGCTACTGCTAAAGTTGATATTTAGCTAAGTGGTATGCTATAGTATTGGTTCCGGATAAACATAGCAACTGTAATTCAGATGTGAAAGGAAGCTTAAAAAATATCATATATGATTTAATAATTTGCTTTTCCTACAAATAACATAAACTTTAATAGTATAACTTTCGGTTGGCTTAATAGGATCAAGTATATATTTTTTTCTTCCAGTGTCTTCCAAGTTCTTTGAGTACATTTTTTTTTCATGGTTTATTGTTGTATAGCAATGCTCCTGGAAGACTTAGTATTTACTCTTCCACCTCTGCATTGATCTACTTTTCCATTCCTTTCATGGAAACCATTGTTTCCATGAAGAAAAAATAAATATGCCTAGTGGAATTAAGACTGTTTACTTTTATATTTGAAATTTGTAACTTCGTTGTTTTATCAGTTATGGAGTTCAGCGAAAGGAAGTTTTAAAAGGGAAAAAATTACTGAAATCTAATACATTTTAATAAAAAATTTGAAAGATGAAGGTAGCATATTACCTAAGCAGAGAGCCCTTAGATCTTAGATTTCTTACGTGTTTTTAGAACTTTTAATCAGGATAGTTGCCATGCTCCATAATCAGTGTTACTCAGAATCATTGAGAATGTATTGTCACTCAGTATTAGAAAACAGTCACACTTGGTAGGTGACATTTTAGTCTTGTTAATACAAAAATATATGTGGCTTATAGCACACCTCCACTAAGAATAATTTTTTGGGTCTGTCCCCTTGTCAAGTAAGTGTTTCACTTGAAAGGAATCCACATAATAGTGAAGCCCTGGAAGATATTAATAAGGCTACTTTGTGGTCTGAGGAAGTTTGCTACTTCTATTTATCAATAAGAAAAAAATGTATGTTTTAACATATTAAAACATTTTGTGTATGTTTACTAAGAAATTCCAAATCCAGCCCTCACATTTGCATTCTCATTATTTAAAATAATTTATTAAAAATTTGAGATATGTTACATGTTAAATGGTGACATTTATGGTCAAGTTTTGGAACTCAAGCAAATTTCATCAAAACTATGTTTGATGTCTTTATAAGAAAGTGAAATGTCACTGAACATAGTACTTAAGGACAAAAGTACTCGAGTGTTACTGCATTGCTTAATAGCTGTTAAAATAATATTGCCTTTTAAAAAACACAACAAGAATAAAAAGAGTGAGACAAAGCTTCCCCCCACCCTGTGTACGCCTTACATTTTCAAGTTTTAAGCTTATGATATGTATTTTTTGAATCATATCAATGAATCATAGTAAAAGTCGGATTATAGGAAGTGCGTTCGCAAAGCATGTTTAAGTCCACGTTTCCTGGAGCAGGCTTTCCTTTTGCATATATTTCTAAGGGGGATAAACAAAGTTTTTGTAGTTCCAGTGAAAGCTAAAAGCATGGCATCAGAAAGTGTATGGAGATAGGGAGGTCTTATCATGGGCTGTGGTTGCTGTGAGCAGGGCAGCCTTCCCACACAAAGAACAGATTGTGGTTTAACTCTTTCCATGGCCTAGTTTAATGTGCTCGCATAGTAACTGAATTGTTCAAATCTCTGCTGGAAACTACTGATCGGTTTAATGATTTCCTCTATGGCATTTGGTTATGCCTTATGCTGTGATGTAATCATCTGCATTCTGTATTGTTAATGAAATTTTGATTCATACTTATTTTCTGCAGAAAGATTTTTACTGCAGTATGTTAAAACACTTGATAACTTCGTTGATTGGGTGGGCTATGCACCTCTTTGGTAGCTGAACTGCAAATTGCTAATGTGACGCAGTCTGTAGCTTTGAAACTTTGAATTTCACCTTAAAAAGGGATTCATAACTATATGGAGTTTTTTGGACACCTTCTTTGTTAGAGTGGCATTAGTTGTACTTTTGTCATCTTTACCTAGTGGAATTAATCAGTCTGCTGGTTAAATAGAATTTATTCCACATAGTTCAGGTTGCCTAGTACTAGTATGTAAATTCTAACTTGGGATATAATCAGCTAGAGAGAGTTATTTTGTGGTTGGGGTGACACTATAGTCCATGTGACCAGAAAAGTGGTTGTGTGTGGTGCAAGGTCTCGTTTGCTTCAGCTCTTGAATTATTGTACATATCCATGTGCATGCACAGTGTGTTAAGCTCTTTCTCTGAACTGTAATAGGCCTGGGCTTATGAGATAGGTTTTACCTAAGGCAGGAAGTAGTGAAACACTGACTATGTTGGGAAGTAACTTGAAATAATCTTTAGGTAAAGATTATCCTTGCCACACCCCCTCCCTTAAAAAATACCCTTAGATGAAATGGGCAGGAAAAATGCAGGAGCCTAAAGGTAAACCACTTAATGTGAAAGGCAGGATACTATATGATCCATACATGTGCGGACTCACAAGCACATGCAGCCGTGCACCCATAGACCCGTCCAAGGATTCACATACGTGGCAAAGGAATTGCAAGGATTCCACAAAAGCAGTAACTGACCAGCAGTACGCTCCTCGTGTCGTGTCACCCTGCCACAGCGTGCAGAGACACAAACAATGTGAAGTTGGTGCCAAGTTGCCATTTTTCATTGTTCACCTCAGATTGATTTTTAAGAGGTTTCGAATAATTGTCATCCTCATGTGATCGGTTAACAAATTAACTGACTCTATGGGGCTTCAGGTTCTACAGGAAAGCTGCTGGGAGAACATTCCTGCAATTTTTGTTTTTCAACTTTATAAACTTTTATTTAAAAATGCAAGTGTGTGTGTGTGTGTCTGAGAGAAAACGTGTGTGCGTGTGCATGTGTGTGCTTGCATGTGTGCGTGTTTGCATGTGTGTGTGTGTGTTTGTGTGTGTATGTATGTGTGTGTGTGTTGGGGGAGAGAATGCACTGCTCAGAGTATGGAAACCTTCTGTTCAGGACACTTACGACAAGCTGTGTCCTTTGCCCACTTTCCCTCACTGTATACCGGTTTCTCTAGTTACCACTCTTGGAATGGTGCTGTTTCAGTGTTGGAATGTTGGACGTTTGATAAGAAAATGGATCAAGTTTAATGGCGCATGCTCTTTGTGCCACCAGCAGCCTCTTGCTGAGAGCATGCTCCAAAGCGGGAACTGTGTGGCATTACACTGAGCATCTATATGCTTTGTGTTTCTGTGCCACAGAGAAGAGAAATGAACTGTGGCATCGCTCCTGCCTTCTGAACAGCTCTGCTCCGATTTAAAAAAAAAAAAAAAAATCTCACTGTGTTCTTTGTAAAATGGTACTGCTTAGTGTTAGTTGGTCAATGAAATATTTAAATATTAAATTAGGTATCAGGAATCTTGGTGGTATATGTTTTTAATATAAGAGTATAAGATGCATGGCATTGGGGTGGAAGTGAGGGGGATGGGGTGAGAGTGGAGATACAAAATATAAACCTTAATTTGTTTTAGGAGGGAGAATCTACCTCTGAATTTTGGTGGAAAAGGGGCTGCTTGACATACTTTCTTTTCTTCTTGCCCTGCTATTTTGATAATTCTAAATAAGAAAGGAATGTGTTATTTTCATGCGTAACTTTTTATACTGAATTGGGAGCGGATTGTGGTCTTACTTTTTAAAATTAAACTGACTATGTGCGTCTTCTCCCCCCCGCCCCCCAATCTCCCACAGGATGAATTTCACCCATTCATCGAGGCACTTCTTCCACATGTCCGTGCAATCGCCTATACTTGGTTCAACCTGCAGGCTCGGAAACGCAAGTACTTTAAAAAGCATGAGAAGCGAATGTCAAAGGATGAAGAAAGAGCAGTCAAAGATGAGCTTCTCAGCGAAAAGCCTGAAATCAAACAGAAGTGGGCATCCAGGCTCCTGGCCAAACTGCGCAAAGATATCCGCCAGGAGTACCGAGAGGACTTTGTGCTTACCGTGACTGGCAAGAAGCACCCATGCTGTGTCTTATCCAATCCCGACCAGAAGGGTAAGATTAGGAGAATCGACTGCCTGCGACAGGCAGACAAAGTCTGGCGTCTGGATCTAGTCATGGTGATCCTGTTCAAAGGCATCCCCTTGGAAAGTACCGATGGAGAGCGGCTCATGAAATCCCCACATTGCACAAACCCAGCACTTTGTGTCCAGCCACATCATATCACAGTATCAGTTAAGGAGCTTGATTTGTTTTTGGCATACTACGTGCAGGAGCAAGGTAGGATCACATTGTTCTTTCTTCTAGTACGGCAAACACTGCCCACAAACCCCCGTGTACGGAGTATCTGGCTTGGGTTTAGATGGTCCTCGAGGCCTTAGATCTCCCCCACTCTCTCTGGGTGGCGTGATGTGCCTACTTCCACACACATGTACACTGCCATGTGCCCATGTGCAAGCTGTGTAATCAGACGCATATTTTCCATACCTGGATAGGCTTGGATATTTAAAGAAACATCACAAAGAGATGTGTTTTCGAGTGTCTTTGCAATAGGGTACACTGGACACAGAATAGCCTAAAAAATATAGTTAATCACCCTTCACTTTCTGTCCTAGACTGCGTGTCTTGCATCGTAGTCATCTTTTCCCGATTTGAAACTGTATGTTTATTTATGTATAGTCAAACCACTCTTTAATAATCTTTGCATTAGCCTCTTGACTAATCAGGTAGAGAAACTTTGTTCATGAATCCAGTACTATTGCACTGAAATAGAATTAACACTTACTATTGCAAAATGCTTAAGATTGCCAGTATCAAAAAGTATATCTTACATAGACTTAAATGTTTATGTAATTTTAATATTTCCATCAGCACCTACTTTTGATTGTATAATATTTGCTGTAGATTAAAGGGATTCTAGTTCTTGTTTTAAATAATTTGTTGTAATATTTTCCCAGAGTGACTTGGGATCACTTAATATTGTTAGTTTACTTGAATGCCAATTCATAAAACTTAACCGAGGAGGAAAGTGGAAGCTTTCCTTACAGAGCATTACAGAACAAAAACAGAAAGTAGACTGGTTACACTGGTTTCCAATAAATCTCAAAAAGAATGCAGAAACCGCAAACCATACCTATTTTTTAAAATACTCGATAAAGAAAGTGATATAAATGTTTCCTGAATAATTCACAAATAGGCGATACTTTTGCTGAGTATTTTTTGAAATATGTCCTTATTATTTTTATTTTTCTTAATATATTTTCCTTAAGTATATTGTCTTTCTTCAAATGATTGTATCAGGATATTGATTTCTTTGTGTTAGCAATCAGTCCATAGTAAAATGTAATTTTAAAAAGCAGCATACTAAAAGTGGACTGAAGTTCGATCTGCCACAGATGGTGGGTCATTTCTTAACGTGGCCTGGCATTAGGGAAAATGGCCTGCAGGTAGCCAGGCAGCAGACGGTTATCTGATGTTTGTTAGACAAATGTGGGATTGAATAAATTGATAGGAGCTTTATTATCATCTCTGAAAGTAAAATACCAAAATTGCTTTTTGACTTAGAACTCTAGGTGCTTACTAGGTGCTTTTTGTCTTTATACCTTGGAGATAGTTTTAGAGAGCTGCTTCAAATGTCAGTTTAAAATTTTTAATCTGATTTTAAATGATGGCGCTGGACATGGCACATTTGGAAATACTACATTTGGACTTTTCTTTATTAAAGAAGAAAAGAAGCAGTTAGTGCATTTATTATTTTTCATGTATTTAAGGATTAAAATCCCAGTAATGATGATTTTGGGAAAAATATATTTTCACCCTGTATGTTCTAAAATAAAAGCTCATTAACACATGACACTTAATTTGATTGACAGCTGTCTCAGAGGTGACATTTTAAGGTGGGCTGTATATATGTGTTGGATTGACTGTGAATGTGTTGTTACTGTTGTGGAAGTCAACGGTGGAAGTAAAGTTTTGAAAACTAGGTCATGTAATGTTTTAGTACAGGTCAGGGGAAGATTCGCGACTCCCTCACTGCTGCTCACGTTTTAACTTACTTGAAGGCTAGTCCTGGAGGTGTGCACGCATGCACATTCCCTCCCGGGGCAGGCAGCCAACTCTCTTGGTTTTGATGAACTGACAATAAAGAATGTATCCTTTGGATTTATAGGGATAGGTTGAAGAAAGAAAAATACATAAATGCTTTCTGTGTTGCACCATTGGTCAGGATACTCTTAAAGTTTTAAGCAACTCTTGGAGACCATGTTTCAGATAAAACCTTGATTCTGGCGGTGGTGTTTCGACAGTCTCTATTGTGAGAATCGTTCCTTATTTTACCCTGTGCAGCTCATCTGAATTCTCCGCTACCTGCCTGAGCCTCATCTCCTGTTAACATCTGTTTGCTCTTTCTTTGAAAAAGTCATATCAGGATGCTTTTGTGTTTTCCCTTTTTCAAAATTTGTATCTTTCTTTGTCAAGAGTAGGTTAATTATGTCATTTTGCAGCATGATTGATTAGAGAAGGCAGGTTTTAAAAGATAAGTCTGTAGTCAATCAGGGAGGGCTGCGCGTCTCACATCATGACTTTTTATTTCCCCTCAGAGTACGTGGAAACTCGCTAACGTTGGTTTATAAATCAGGTAAAGGAGTATAAAGAAAAACATGAAAGAAAAATCAGAAAAGAAAAATGTAATGTTTGCAATAGAATGAGCAACAAAATGACTACCCCCCTCCCTTTTTCTCTCTCTCTCCCCACTTCTAAACGACTGGGACAAAAACATGAGAAAGAACAGAGAGAATGCCAAAGATGGTTGCCACTGGCACCAGGATTGGCATCAGACCCTCTTTGTTTAGCTCAGGATGCCTGTGATTTGTTCATTGGCATCCGCATTGCAGTGTGGAATGATGTTACAATATATTGACAATTTCCAGATTTAGAAATGTCAATAGTCCTCTTGGTTATTTATACAAGATCACATACTGCATCTCTTCAAGAGAATGAAATAAAGACCAACATATAATAAAGTTCCACTGTTGACCAACTTTCTATGCCTTTCCTTTTCCCTCTTTCTTTTTTGGTTCAACCTATACTTTTTTTTTCCTTTTTCTCCCTTCTTCATGCGCAGCTGCCTCATCTTTTCTGAAATGTGGAAAGAGTTACTAGTGCTTTGACACAAACTATAGTGCTACATCTGCATTCGATATGGTTTTGGGGAAAATGTATGCATTTTGAAATCATTTTTGATATAGAGTTCATTAGACTCGCATCACATGGCCGCAAGGCAGTATTTTCTTTAAAGCTAAATCTCTTTGTTATTCAGCTTCTTCTGTGCTTATAGCCGAGTTGACCGCAGTTTATTCCATTTTACTATTTCTTTACATTAGCAAAGGGTCATGTTCGATGTAGTTGTTTATAAAATTACATAGCACTTTACCTAAAATGTACTCATCATTTGGGAGTAACTGCGTTTGAATCCATAAAATCATTTGACGTTATTGATTCAGAGGGCTGCGCTTCGGCTGTTTCGTTGCTACAAGAACCGCCATTTTGTTTGTGAAGTGCCAGGCGAGGGGAAAAAAAAGGCAGACACTGTGCTTGATGCCAATAATGGTTGCCAGTGGCACCGAGGTTGGCATCAGACCCTCTTTGTCTAGTTGCTGAATGCCTTTGATTCGTTGGTTGGCATCCGCATTGCAGTGGGCACACTGGAAAGTTTTTGACAATCCCTGAATAAAGGCTGCTGCTTGTTTGATGCAGCAAACCTTAGCTAATATAAAACCCTCCCCACCCCTTTTTTTAGGGGTTTATTTATTTATTTTTTTAAGACTGTGACAGATTAAAGGAAAAAAATAGCTGTATCCTGGCTTCCATTTTCCCGACGATATTAAAGATGTCCAATGATTCTTGGGCAGGTGGTACCTATTCCCCATATTGTCTTTGTTATTGCGTTCGTGAAAGCAAAGCAAAACAAAACAACCCAGGCAGGCCTTGCAGGACACACCCCACTGGGATGCAGGTTGTACTGCAGGATGCGGGGTGCACCTTGTAAGTGTGTGGAGCACTAGCCTGATGGAGTGATATGGAATGCATTCATTACGACTCTGTTGCTTTCAGTCACATTACTGCTTCTTTCTTATGCAATTCCCAGTTCCACACTTCCAAATTTTATAGTCATGCATTGAGAAGACTTCGCTTTCCTCTCTAGTCAATAACGTGTATCAGCGTAAATGTGAAGAAAATAAGAAAACCCTAACAAGGAAAGCTATGTGTTAAGGTCTGATATAAATCAATCATTCCTGAATTTCTCAATTCTGCCTCAAAATGTTGCCAAATTCTCAGTGCACAATTCTGCATGCCAGGAAAACCATCCGAAAGGCTAAAATAATTTTGGTTGAAGTTTCCTAGATAGTTGAGCATTAATATTCCTTTCCGGTTAACCACCATTATCTCGTTAACTAATAAGAAGGATTAGCAGTTCTACCCAAAGGGCTTCACAGAAGGAAGTATGGCCTATGGGAGGCCTTGAGTCGCCAGACTGTGTCCTGTCTGAAGGGGAAAAAAGGCAGATGGGGGGGACTGGGCTTTCTGTGAGGCAGAGACGGGTTTGGCAGAAAGAGTGAGGTCGCAACACAGTAAGAAGTTAAAGAATATCAAGAGATAGGCACCGTTGTCATGAATTTAATAGATTAGAGTTTAAACTAAATCAACCTAACTGATTTTTGGACTGTACTTTGCACTCTTATTAAACATGTTTTGCATTACTGAAGAGAGCCCAAAAGCCTCATTGCTATCATGAAAGAGTAGTTTCTTTTAGCCTTGTTGAACCCTGAACCTTGGGATCCGTTGCTGGATGGCCACCTTTGTTGTTTTCTTGTGAAATTGTTATCACAATTAAAGTATATTTTGAAGTTGTGAAAAAATGTGACTTGTTTACAGGGGAAGTTGTAATCGTTATTACTGGTTTGAAATAGAATCCTTCCTGGTTGTCACATATCATTAGCGAGGAAGCAAACGCTAAGAATTATTTTCCTCTTTCAGCTAGGGACTTTTAGAATCCTTTGGGGGAACAGTGATTTCTTTATGAAAAGCTTAAGCTGATAATTGTTTGCAAGTTAACAGTGTATTTTAACATTTTAATGCATTTCGCTTCATTTGCAGGTATTTTCTATGATGAGGAAAAATAAGCTTTCATAATTTGTTGAAAGGAGGCTGCTTTCTAGGATGATTTGGTGTGCTTGCATTGTGAAATGCTCAGAGAGCAGAAAGTTGGTGTGTAGGAGAAG